TCTCAAGGCGGACACTCTAACCACAAGGCCACTGAGTAGGTATTGTAGAATAGGCCTACTGTTATTTATGTGGACAAAGCAAATTCCCAGGGGATAATAAAGTTTAACTGTATCGTGGTGTTGTATTGATACACCTCAGGTTTAGACCTTTTCCAATGACATACAGTAAGTGCTTCAACAAACAGGTAAGGTGCATCCACAGAGTTTCTAAACCCAAAGCCTCAACATTGCGAGACTTATAATAATAATAATAATAATAATATGCCATTTAGCAGATGCTTTTATCCAAAGCGACTTACAGTCATGCGTGCATACATTTTTGTGTATGGGTGGTCCCGGGGATCGAACCCACTACCTTGGCGTTACAAGCGCCGTGCTCTACCAGCTGAGCTACAGAGGACTTAATGGGAACGCTTGCAAAACAGACCAAGCCGGGGTTTGGGCTTTGTGAAGTCAGTGAGAGAAGCAAAAAATACTTCCTTAGTTGTTAATTTTCTGGAAATCTAAAGGTACAGCCTAGATTGGAGCCAATGTCTTAGGTAGCTGAACATGTTAGAACTCCAACCTCGTGAAAGTAACAAACTGACACGTGTTCCTTTTCATCAAAAACAACTTTATATCGAAGGAGTGCCTTTGATTTGATGGCCTGCACGTGCGCAGTTCGGCACGGGACGACCGTTAGACCCGATGACGTGTTTCTGTGCATGAGCTTAGCTAGCCTACGTCGCCACGACGTCGCCTACAAGCGCGATCGGGGATTTCTATTGGAGAAGCAGTTTCTGCCCATTTTCATACTGTACTGTCTTTGGTACATCTACTACGTTGACTGTGAGAGACCTAGCTCCCCCAAGTCAGAGAGACTGTTGTTCAGTGGCCATAAGCCAAAGCATCATGTGTCTGGTGATGGTGGTGTGACAATGAGAGCGCCCCAGACTATCATAAACCGTTAAGCTCTATATCATCTCGGCTGCACCAGGAGAGATGAGAAAACAGAGAGATAAAGAGAGAGAGAGAGAGAGAATGCGAGAGAGACACAACAAAACAACAACAGGGACCGCAAAAGAGGGGGAGAGGCAGACAGAGGGACAATGAATGAACGAAATACATTTACTAAAGAAACAGAGGGGAAAGAGTAAGGGAAGATAATGTGAGAGAAATAAATGGTATGTTTCTGTGGTGGTGGTGGTGTTGTGAAGCTTGGGGAGTCACATTAACAGACAACAGTGATGAACAATGGTTTATTATAATATGAAAAGATGAGCGATCATAATGATAGAGAAAAATGCAGAGAGAGAAGAGGGGAAGAGAGAGGGGGAGAGAGCTGGAGAAGAGAAAGAGATAGAGGGAGCGATAATGGCATAGAGAGAGAGAGCGCGAGAGAGAGCAAGAAGGAAGGAAGGAAGGAGGGATAGAGAGAGAATGAGCTAGAGGTGTTGGAAGGTCTGTCTATACATCATAATATGTGGTTGAGTCAGCAGCTAGAAGAGATGGATCACAGGAAAGTGGGACGGAGGGAGGGAGGGAAAACATCACTTCAGTGAAAAACACCTCTATGAAATACAGGTGAGATCTCAGGAAGACACACAGGCACACACACAGTGGGGTAATAGACCCGCTCACACTTTCAACCAGTGAATAAAAAGAGAAATGGAGGGAAGAAGAAAAATTAGGAAAAGAGACAAATGAACAATTGATGAGGGAGATCATTCAGAGGCCATGGGCAAGATTGTCTGAGAGAGAAATGAGAAAAACAACAAGAGAGGAATACAGGAAGTGTGATTGAGAGCCAGAGACCGACCGACCTCTCTTCTCTCTATCAACAGGAAGGGTTGTTTTGTTTGGATGTGAGTTTTGGAGATTGAGAGCCAGGACCTTATCTCGGACGAGAGTCGAGAGAGAGGAGAGAGCGAGAGGCAGCAGCGATGAGAGAGTAGTATAGCGATAGAGAGCAGAGATGAGCAGATATGAGATCGAGAGAGAGAGATATGAGCGAGAGGAGATATATCTCGCGATAGAGCTCTCTCCTCTCATATATCTCTCTCTTATCATTCTAGAGCAGATCTACTTAGAGCTCTCTCTCTCTCTCTCTCATCTGCATACCCAAATGGCACCCTATTCCCTTCATAGTGCACTACTATTGGCCCTGATCAAAAGTTGTGCACTATATAAGGAATAGGGTGCTTTTTAGGATGTAGACAGTGTCTCAGCCAGCCTGGTCTAATCAACATACCTTATTAATACTTCATCTTATCTAACCAGCCCAGGGCAATGCACGGCCAACACATGCACACACACACACACAGTGAAAGGTTACTGATCAACGACGAGTCAGAACTGCCTGTACTCTCATTTAGCTGTTAATCCACTTTTGTGTGTGTTTGTGTGTGTGTGTGTGTTACAAGACTTGCACCCCCCTGCCCCAAATGGGTTCTATTTAGTTGCCATGGCAGCCAGATGGGGCTTGTGCCTGTTGTCATGGGAACGGAAAAGGCCCAAAAAT